AAAGATTACAGGCTTGGAAACCAGTCCACCAAGGGGAAATGCTAATATGCACTCATTTAATTCGTTCCATTGATACTTGTGGTATGCCAACTCTGCACACAGAAACAGAGGAGAAGCAACTATTATGTATGAACACCTGGTTATTGAACAATCAGTTGTATTTTTTGATGTTGTTTAAGTGCCGTTGAGTCAGTCTGGACTCCTAGCTCCAAAAAGTTCATGTAAGAAACAAGGAATGAAAAGATAATGGAATTTTTCCATGAACTTTAAATGCCATGAAGTCGGTTCTGACTCATAGCAACCCTGTATAGGGTTTCCAAGGAGCAGCTGGTGGGGTTGAACATGCCGACCTTGTGATTCACAGTCCAGTGCTGATCCACAGCGCCACACCAGAAGTCCATCACCAGTGCACGGACAGCCTACCTGTTGATTCATACTACCGACTGTAGAGATTTGTTAGGCACGCGGACTCGATGTCAATGGGATAGTCGAGGTGCTCCCCAGGACTTTCTAGTCTACAGTCGGTATGAGAACAGATCCAGTTAGCTTTCTCTTGTGGGGCTGTTGGGAGGGTTGGAACCTTGAACTGTAACAGCTGTGCCCACCAGGGTTCCGTTTTAGAGACTTGCTGTTATTGCTAAGCACCATCGAGTCAGTGCTGACAGAGCAACCCTGCATAGGGTTTCCAAGGAGCAGCTGCTAGGTTAGAACCTCGACCTTGCAGTTAGTTAGCAGTCCAGCGCTTATACTACAATGCCACACCACACTTCTTGTTGCTGTTAAGTGCTGTCTAGATATCAACCACCAACCTTGCAGCTAGCAGTCCAGTGTGCATCCTACAGCGCCCTACCGGGACTTGGTGTTGTTGTTAAGTGCCGTCGAGTTGGGTCTGACCCATAGCGACCCTGTACAGGGTTTCCGAGGGTGTAAATCTTTACGGGAGTAGAAAGTCTCATCTTTCCCCGCGGAGCGGCTGGTAGTTTCGAACCGCTGACCTTAAGGTTCGCAGCCCAATTTGTAGCCACTACGCTACCAGGACTTAGGGGGATTTAAATCATTTCTTTATTTGTTAGAAACATTTTCTATGTAGCTTAAGAGAAAAAAAAAGTGAAGATTTTAAAAGAAATAAAACATTTGTTGTTGTTAAGTGCCATCGTCCGACTCATAACAACCCTGTATAAGGTTTCCAAGGAGTGGCTGGTGGGTTTGAATGTCAACCTTGTGGTTAGCAGTCCAGAGCTTATCCTACAGCACCACATCGGGACTCCAGAAATAAATAAAACCTACTAAATGGTTTATACAATGAAAGAAGTTTCAATCGTTTCCAATTTTAAAACCCTTCAATGACACTGAACAATCAAATGAAAGGCTTTTGCTTTTACTGCACTAGATCTCATCTCTGAATACAGAGTAAGTAAGCTTAGTCAACAGTCTGGCATTTATGTGTCAACTAAGTATCTTTATTTCATTGAATTATAAAAATATTCATTGAACCTATGCCAATTTCTTAGCCCAACAAAACTTGTGAATATCTGCTATATTGGCCTGTATTACTCAATTTTACTCAAGTTTGATTACTTGTAAAGGCTTAATTCACATTTTAAAAAGGTGTAGGTGTGTGTGTGTATGTTAAGCTATCTTTATGTGCAGCCATTTCTCCCCTCAAATTAATATTTTCCCTTCCCAGGAAGCTTTATTTATAGACTAACTTAGTGTTATATTATTGTAACAGTATTCTCAGGAGTGAACTATAATCTTAACTTGAAAATGAATAAATTACTGTCATACTGAAGGCACGACCATGGAAGTCATGCTATCTTTTAGACCTTTCCCTCATGATTTACTGATTTTGGGGGCAATTAAGAAGACTCTTTAATACCAGACTACTAATTTTACATATTAACACAGTCTCACAATATACAAAGAAAGTAAAAATGTACCACTAGGGATAAAGAGGCTTAGAGAGTAACAGTACTTATCTGCAATTGTTCTTCATGAGAAAATGCTGCTACCAAACCCCAAAGTGATGTTAAGTGATAAAAAGATTTACAACAGACACAAACTGGAATTCCCGCTAAACCAGACACTGGTATTTAGCTCAATGGAAGAGAGATTCCCCACTAGGCTTGACAATAGAGACTTAAACAACCAGAGGGAGAAGGGAGAATTCAACTAGTTTCCTAATTACAATGCTGTTCTGTTTTTTAACACAAAGAAATTCCTTTGAGGAGTTGAAATTAAGAATTTATTTTTGTGAAAATTTATCTTTAGAGTTAGCAGAAAGCATTATAACGTTTTAATAGGCATGTCATATCACACTGCTGGTGTGTGCTGTTGGGTTGGTTGGGTCTGACTCATAGCAGGGGACTAGGAGAACCAACTGATGAAACTAACAAATGCACAAGCTGCTTTTAAGTACAGGCAGTCCTCGAATCACGAAGCAGCTCAATTGCTAAGTCTGTCTTTAGACTAATTTCTAATTAAGTCAGGACAGTTAGGTACAGTTTGTATCAAAAGTCAGGTAAATACTTGCCTAAGTATACTTTTCTATGCATAAAAACACTAAAGAAACACTTCCCCAATACACTTTTACATCTTTAACGTAATAATAATCTTTTGATGATTATTGCAAAGTAGCTCCTGTTTGCTATTGTGAACTACTTTTAATGTAACAGGTTTTATGGGGCTGGTTCCCTACTATTCCCAATGTGGAGGCTGCCAATAGTTTACAAATAAACCTAGCAAAGTGTGCAAAGATCATTTTATTCCCATATTCTTGTAAATAGCACTACTTTTAAAGGAAAGCTCAATCTCTATCCAGAAGGGCTTAAGTAAGTAAATGATACATTCTGTGGATGCCTAGAACACCTCACTATGTAGCAGTTTAAAATAAAACCTCTTTTCGGCAATGTAAAATATACCGAGTGACAAAAGCAATGTGAATGATATGCCCATTCATGTAAAAATGGTCATGTACTTACAAACGGTTGCAAAGTGTCACTGAGTTGGTCCAAATCATAGCAATCCTATATAGGATTCTGAGGAACAGCTGGTAAGTTTGAACCGCCAACCTTGTGGTTAGCAGTTCAGTGCTTATCGTTATCCTACAGTGCCACATCAGGACTCCATGTACATAAATGTTGTTGTTAAGTGCTATTGAGTCGGTTCTAACTCATAGCGACCCTGTATAGGGATTCCAAGGAGCGGCTGGTGAACTTGAACCGCTGATCTTGCAGTTCAGAGCATTATCCCACAGTGCCTCGCCTGAACATATATGAGAAACTTCAAAACGTACATGGAAAAATTCTATTATTTTCCAGTTTTCATTTTTTTCATGAACGTTTTGAAGCTCCCCTCCCCCTTGTATGTACATGCTTGAAAAGGCATTTTTGACAAGGATTCACAAGACACTTAAAACTAGGAATAAATTTTAAAAGTATCTGTACTGTTTGAATGTTGACCCTGAACATATACTACATGCATGTTGTTGTTATGTGCCGTGGTGTCAGTTCTGACTCATAGCGACCCTGTACAGGGTTTCCTAGGCTGTAGATCTCTACAGGAGCAGAAAGCCTCATCTTTCTCCCCCGGAACAGCTGGTACTTTCGAACCGCCGATCGCAAGATAAGCAGCCCGATTCGTAACCACTATTCTTAGGAAGAAAATCACTAGCAGTTCTTTAAAAGTGCTCTTTCATACACAACCAACATTGCTATTAATTTATGTTAGATATTATAAAACCACTAAATGTAACCAGCATATCCTAAATCTACTCAAACAAGTATTAACAACAGTGTGGTTTTTACCAGCAACCATAAAAACTCTTTCTGCTATGAGCCCATAAGAGGTCCTGCCTGCCCCTCGATTTCATTAGCTTCATGAAAAATAACGTTTTGATTTGTAAAAATACCTGGCTGAATTGTATAAAAAATCTTCAATCATATGGTTGCAAAGAACTTGACACATAGTCATGTTTGTAGATAGTGCTGGTAATGTACTTAAACCTAGACAGTTCCTGCCCTTTTAAGTATTTCACAGAAATCCTGGTCTAACACTTCACAGTTAGTTTAAAGCGTCTTCTAGTGAACAGAGCGGTGTCTAACTGCTACTTGGTAAAAGAACTTACAGATACATTTGAAATACTGTCTCTAAATTTAAACTCTATCGCTAGTCTGAATCCACTTGATAGATGGCAACCGGTTTGGTTTTGGGTTACACTATATTCACAGCTCCACATTTTGGAGGTCAAGAGCCAGCGAGATTAAAAAAAGAGAGAGGGAGGAAGATTCAGGTTAGAATGAATGAAACTGAAGACTTATAAGCACAAGGTCTTGGCCCATTTAAACAAGCAGAGTCCCAGTACATCCCATTTATGTTATAAATGAAACCACACATCCCCAGAGATGAAAGAAAGGAAGGAGAGCAGAGCAAGGTGGAAGGAAGCTCCTTAGAAAGAAAAACCCTAAAGGCAACTTCATAAAACGAGGTGGGGAAGGGTAGGGGAACGCGGCTTCTGCTGGCTGCTCGTTGGGCACTAGTAATAAGAATGGGAACAAGTGGCGATCGGGCGACAAGACACATCTCAGGACGATGGGGCAGCCTTTAGGAGGCTGGCTGGCGGCGTAGAGGGGAGGAAGCGGGAGAGGGGCGCGGGCTGAGCCCCGGAAGGGGGTGCTGGGGTGGGGAGAGCTCGGCTCGGCTCGGCTAGGGCCCGGGCCCGTCCCCGGCAGGAGTGGCGTGGCGGGAGCGGCCGCACGTGTGCGGGACGCGGGGACCGGCTAACTGGCGCCGTGGCTGCAATGGCCGGAAGGGCCCGGGCACGGTCAGGAGTCGAGAGCCGCCGGCCGCTTCACACGTGGGCTGCGCGGCCGCCGCCCGCCCGGCACGGCCTGCGTGTCTGTCCGCCGCGGAGGGGCCGAGGCCCGCCGGCTGGGGCGGCCGGGAATGGGGTCGGCGCGCCGGCTGGGGCGGCCAGGGATGGGGGCCGCGAGCTCCATTACCTCTGCCTGTTTCCGGACCACATTGTCGGGGCTGAGCAGGTTTCCCAGGAGCAGGTAGAACTGTTGCTGCTCCGCCGCGGCCGCCGCCATTGCGCTAGGCGTGAGAGAGAAGGAGGGAGGGGAGACAGGAGCCGTGAGGCGCGCTGGCGGGCCGGCGGGGAGGGGCGGGGGCGGGCCCAGCGCGGGGACCGGCACCTTCGGCGGGCGGGTGGGGGCGGGGCCAAGGGAAAAGGGGCGGATGGGGCGGGGCCGCACAACCTCTAACCCTGCCGCGGCCCCCGGGGCCGGCTCTTCATTGGACCTGGGTTCAGGGGGCGGGGCTGATGCCGCCTCCTCGGAGGCCGCGCCGATTGGCCACGCACCCTGCAGTGCCGTCACTGGCGGCGCACGGCCGGCCACCGGGTTTCGGGCGGGTGGGGCTGGCCGAGGTTTTCGGATCCCACTCGAAGCCGGGGCTTCATTGCGGGGGCTCCAGGGGAAGTCGACTGGCGGGCCTGGCCGTGGCTAGGGGCGTGAGAGGCCAGGCAGAGGAGGAGGAGTCAGCCCCTGAGCGCGGGAGATTTCGGCGCCGCCGGCTAGCCCTCCTCCTCTCCGCCGCGCTCCCATCGCTCCCGCCACCCGGCGACCTCAGGGTCCCTAACCCCGAGGAAGGGAGCCCCCCTTTGAAACCCACCTTCCACTTAAATTCCATTCCAGCCTCCCAAGACCCTAGGGCCTCCCTTGTGGGTTGACTTTAGGCCCTGGCTGCCCGGAAGAGGGGCACTCAGCTCGGGGCTCTCCTGCTCGGCGGCCTCGGGAGAGGTCTACGTAGCACCAATGGCCTTACCCCTACTCCAGCGACCCGTGATTCCATTACCCTGAATTTCTTTGTGAGTCCCTTTCTCTCAGTGGAGAAACTCATGACAGAGCCTGCTTTCTCCCAAAGCGGACCAGGTTTATAGGGCCAATTTTTCATTATTTAGAGCCCCACCAGAACTGCGCCCTCCTCCCCCGATCAGATTTCAAGAGCAACACGCTAAATAAAGCAGACACAGTATTTCCCATCTTTAGAAATGATCTGCCTTTGCTAAAGTATTAGAGAGCTATCCCTCTACTGTGTCCATGTGTACTGTGTTAGGGTGACTGGGGAAAAAAATGTAGCTCCATTTTTACCTCAAAAGGACAACTTCATTGCCATTGAGGTGAAATAGAAGTTCTACTTGTCTGGGCAGGTAGTCATATTCCATGTAGGGAATTTAATTTCCTGTTTGCTATTCGTCGTCTTCAAGCATTTGCTCTTAGGTAAATTATTTTAAACCTTGGCTCTATATTAAAATCATCAGGGCCACTGTGTTCAGAATCCTCATGAGATTGTGATGACCAGCCAAGGTTTTGAAAAGTATTTGATTTGTAGAGAAAATATGCTCAGGAAGTTTTAACTGACAGTTTCTCTACAGGAGGTCTGCAGACCGATCAATAGATCCATAGATTCAATGCTGTTGGTTTTAAGTGACAATTTGTTGTTTGTACACATTGTTATTCCCTCCAAGACTATTTTGTAGATTCATGTGGGGCAATGTTTCTTGTTTTTTTTTTTTCCCCATCAGCAGTAAACATGAGTTGAGTTCTGAAGAGAATTTTCATCGCTCAAATTTGTTAAGATTTTAGGAATGACATACTAAAACAGAATAAAGGATACTGCATGGTTTAAAATCAGAAAAGGTGTGTGACCGTGTTGTATCCTTTCTCCACATTTACTCAATCTGGTTGCTGAGCAAATAAACCGTGAAACTGGATTATATGAAGAAGAATGTGGTATCAGGGTTGGGGGAAAGACTCATTAACAAAAGCAAGAAAGTAAGACTTTGTCTCTTGTATTTTGGACATGCTGTCAGAAGGGCTAGGTTTCTGGAGAAAGACATCATGCTTGGATGTTCAGTGGTTTCCGCATTCTGTTGGGTCACCTTTGTTTGAAATGGGTCTAAATATGGATCTCTTCCAATTAGTTGCCCAGATTGTTGCTGTTAAGTGCTGTGGAGTTGGTTCTGACTCGTTGTTGTTTGGTGCCATTGAGTTGTTACCGACTCATAGTGACCTTATGCACAGCAGACGAAACACTGCCCAATCCTCTTTACAGGATTACCGAGAAGCAGTTGCTAAATTTGAACCACCAATCTTGCAGTTCAAGCTGACCTTATAGTTCAGCAGCACAACTGACCAAGGACTCCAGTTGTCCAGGTGTTATGAAGTGCCGTTGAGTGGATTCCGACCCATAGCAATCCTGTATAGGGTTTCCAAGGAGAAGCTGGTGAGCTTGAACCACCGACCTTGCAGTTCAAACGACTTTGTAGTCTGATGCATTAGCCCACAGCGCTACACCAGGACTCCAGTAGACCAGGCAGCTAGCTACTGTCTTTAAAATTTCTGGGCATAGACCAGTGAGTGCCCCCAGGACTGCAACAGTTTGATGACGAATTTCAGTTTGTATGCCTTCACTTCCTGGAGCTTTGTGTTTGTCACCATGCTGTCCGTGCAGCTGGGACTTCTTCCTTCAGTACCATCAGTTCTTGGTCATGTGCTACACCTCTTGAAATGGTTGGATCTCAACCAGTTCTTTTTGGCACAGTAACTATGTATTCCTTTCATTTCCATTTGATGCTTCCTACACCATTCAATATTTTCCCCATAGAATTCTTCAATATTGCAACCAAAGGCTTAAATTTATTTTCTTCTTTCAGTTTGAGAAGTGATTTGATTAATATTAGTACTTACTGGTTGGTATTCCTTCTTGTTGCTGTTAAGTGCTGTCAAGTCGGTTCTGACTCATAGCGACCCTATGCACTACAGAACCAAACACTGCCCATTCCTGTGCCATCCTTGCCATTGTTAAGTTTGAGTCCACTGCTGCTGCCACTGTGCCAGTCCGTCTCGTTGGGGGTCTTCCTGTTTTTCTTTGAACCTCCACTTTTCTAAACATCATGTCCTTTTCCAAAGACTACTTTTTCCATGTAGATGTGTGGATATTGTTCTATCACAGACAGTAGACTTCAAGATAGATCCTGAAATGCTCTTGTGACAATAAATGTGATGCCATTCCTCTTGACTTTGTCATTCCCAGCAATAGTAAACCATATGACTGTCTGATTCAGAATGGCCAATAGCACATCTTAGCTCACTTGATGCTTCTTTAGACAGCATAAGACACGACTGTACACATGGACCTCACCAGATGGAATACATAGAAATCAAATTGACTACATCTGCGGAAAGAGACGGTGGAAAAGCTCCATATAATCACTGAAAACAAGGCCAGGAGCAAACTGTGGGACAGACCATCAATTACTCATATGCAAATTCAACTGAAGCTGAAGAAAATGAAAACAAGTCCATGAGAGCCAAAATATGATCTTGAATATATCCCACCTGAATTTAGAGATCATCTAAAGAAAAGATTTGATACATTAAACATTAAAGACCCAAGAACAGAACAGTTGTGGGATGACATCAAGAACATCATAAACGAAGAAAGAAAAAGTCATTAAGAATCTTGTCTTGAAGGAAAAGGTCAAAATGTATGTCAGAAGAGACACTGAAATTTGCTGTCCAGCATAGAGATGCTAAAGCAAATGGAAGAAATGAGGAAGTCCAAGAGCTGAACAGAAAATTTCAAAGACCAGCTTGAGAAGATAAAGCTAAATATTACAGTAAAATGCGCAAAGATCTGGAATGAGAAAAACCAAAAAGGAAGAACATGCTCAGCATTTCTCAAGCTGGGGGAACTGAAGAAAAAAATTAAGCCTCTACTTTCGTTATTGAAAGATTCTCTGGGCAAATTATTGAATGATGTAGAATGCATCAAGAGACGATGGAAGGAATATAAAAAGTCATGGAACCAAAAGGAGATGGATAATGTTCAACCGTTTCAAGACCAATGATACTGAGGGAGGAAGTCCAAGTTGCATTGAAGGAATTGGCGAAGAACAAGACACCAGGAACTAATGGAATAAAAATGGAAATCTTTCAAGAAAATGAAGCAGCACAGGAGGCACTCACTCATCTCTGCCAAGAAATTTGGAAGACAACTATCTAGCTGACTGATTGGAAGAGATCTGTATTTGTGCCTATTCCAAAAAGAGGTGACCCAATGGAATGCGGAAATCATTGGACAATCTCTTTGATATCCCATGTGAGTAAAGTTTTACTAAAGGTAATACAGAAACAGCTGCAAGCATACATTAACAGAAAACTTCCAGAGGTTCAAGCCAGATTCAGAAGAGGCTATGGAACGATGGATCTTGGCTGAAAGCAGAGAATATCAGAAAGATTTTTACCTGTGCTTTATTGACTATGCATAGGTTTTTGGTTGTGTGGATCATGACAAGCTATGGACAACATTGCTAAGTATGAGTATTCTGGAACACTTACTTGTGTTCACGATGAATCTGTACGTGGACCAAGAGGTAGTTGTTTGAACAGAACATGGGAACACTGACTGGTTTAAAATTAAGAAAGGTGTGCGACAAGGTTGTATTCTTTCACCATACTTATTCAACTTATTCGTACGTATCCTGAGCAAATAATCTGAGAAGCTGGATTCTATGAAGAAAAACATGGCATCAGGATTGGAGGAAGACTCATTAATGACCTGCAATATGATACAACCTTGCTTGCTGAAAGTGAAGAGGACTTAAAATATTTACTGATGAAGATCAAAGAGCACAGCCTTCTGTATGGATTACATCTCAATGTAAAGAAAACAAAAATCCTCACCACTGGGCCAGTAAACAACATTCTTATCAATGGAGAAAAGATTGAAGTTGTCAAGGACTTCATTCTTCTTGGATCAACTATCAACATTCACGGAAGCAGCAATCAAGAAATCAAACGATGTATTGCATTAGGCAAATCTGCGGCACAAGACCTTTTTAAAGTGTTTAAGAGCAAAGATGTCAGCTTGAGGACTAAGACTCGCCTGACCCAAGCCGTGGTATTTTCAATAACCTCATGTGCATGCTAAAGCTGGACAGTGAATAAGGAAGACCATAGAAGAATTGATGCTTTTGAGTTACGGTGCCAAAAGAACTAATAGATCCATTTTGGAAGAAATGCAGCCAGAGTGCTCCTAGGAGGCCAGGATGGCCAAACTTTGTCTCTCATACTTTGGACATATTGTCAGGAGGGATCAGACACTGGAGAAGGATATCATGTTTGGTAAGGTGGAGGGTCAGAGATAAAGAGGAAGACCTCCCCCAACGAAATGGATTGTTGGCAGTGGCAACAAATCAAGTGGCAGCATCGATGGACTCAAGCGTGGTAACAGTAGTGAGGTTGGCTCAGGATCGGTCAGTGTTTTGTTCTGCTGTGCATAAGGTCGCTATGAGTAGGTAATGACTTGATGGCACCTAACAACAACAAATGCCTTTATGCATTCCATTTCATTTTTAATGACTTCCAATTTTCTTGTATTCATACTTTGAACCTTCCATGTTCCAATTATTAATGGTTATTTGCAGCACTTTCTTTTCATTTTGACTTGTGTCCCACCAGTAAATGAAGGTCCTGAGAGCTGTGCTCCATTCACATCATTAAACCCAACTCTACTTTGAGAAGGCAGCTCTTCCCGACTTATATTTTGAGCAACTTCCAATGTGATGGGTTCATCTGCTGTACTTAGGAATATAAGGTTTTCAGTGGCTAACCATTCAGAAGTGGTCTGCCTTCCTCTTCCTAATCTTAGTCTGGAAGCCCCACTGAAACCTGTTGACTCTTGGCGCCCCTACTTGTGTTTAAAATACCGGTGACATCGTTTTCAGCCACACACAAGTTATCATAGTATGGTAAACATTTTGCCCATAGAATTCTTTAATATTACAATTACAGCCCAAGGCTTGAATTTTCTTCTTCAGTTCTTTCAGCTTGATAAATTCTGAGTGTCTTTTTCCCTTATGGTTTTTGAACTCCAGGTCTTTGTACATTTTCACTGCAATACTTGAGTTTGCCTGCTAGAAGCTGTCCTTTGAAATTTTCTGGTCATCTTTTTTTGCTTCATCATTTCTTCCAGTTGTTTTAGATTCTTTACATCCAAGAGCAAGTTTGTGAGTCTTTTCTGACATCTGTTTTGTTTCTTGGTTTTTCTCCTGCCTTTTTAATGACCTCTGCTTTCTTCATGTATGATGTTCTTGATGGCATCCCACAACTTCTCTGGTCTTCAGTCATTAGTGTTCAGTGCATCAACTCTGTTCTTGAGATGGTCTTTTGTTTCAGATGGGATCTGATTAAGGTCAATTTTGAGTCTCGTAGCCTTGCTTTAGTTTTCTTTAGCTTCAGCTTGAACTTGTGTTATTAGCAGTCCATTTCAGGTCACAAATGCCTGAGCTAGCCATCTTCATGCATTCCATTTCATTTTTGATGACTTCTAATTTTCTTATATCTATACTTCATATCAAATACTTAATACAAAACAAAGGGATATAAAATAACTCTACTGATTACATAAAGAATTGATGAACATGATAAAATATATCAATTATTAATTTTACCAGTTTCTTTTTTTTTAAAAAATATGATCATAGAAACTTTAAAATTACATATGTGATTTGCATTTGTGGTTCACAGTGTACTCTTGTGGACCGGCTGTGCTTGGGAGAAAGCAAACCGACTAGTCACACACTTAGGTGTCCTAAATATTTTGTTCATTTAGCTTTAGGAAATGAGTTCTCACTAAATGAAGTCAGTTACCTTACTTGTTTCTTGTTGCTTCCAGTTTTCCCACTTGATTCTCAGGAATTTGGAGACATGGTACAATTACTTCCTGAGCAGTGTTTCTTGCTAGGAATTTACCTTCCCTGCTGGTTTGACAAAAACAGATTTGTTGATGTTTAGAAGGTAGTTAAGATTCAAGATTTGATCCTATATAATAAATAAATCCTTGTAAGCTAATACACAGACTGGATTAGATTTGGGACACGGAAGAATGCCTTTTATTTGATTATTTGAAGTTGATTCTTTTTATTTAGGTATGCTTAGTGGATTTAAAAACCATAATTTGTTGCATTTTAAACTCCTCTCCCAATATGCTTAACATAAGGATTTAATTTTTAACCTAAGTGTTTATTCCTCAGACCACAAATAAGTTGAAAGTAAAATGATAGAAAAAGATACATGATGCAAACAATAGTCTAAAGAGAGCTGAGTTAGCTATATTAATATGACAAAATAGTCATTAAGACAAAATTTGTTACTAGAGAAAGAGAAAGACATTTTATTGTAATAAATCATCAGGGTGATTTAACAATTCACAAAATATATATCTAAAACAGAGCCTCTAAATACTTGAAGCAAAAATGACAGAAATGAATGATGAAATAGACCATTCAACAAAATAAATGGAGACTTCAAGACTCCACTTGCAATAATGTGCAGGGCTAATATACAGCAGATCAAAAATAAATAGAAGACTTGAAAAACACTATAAATCAACTAATCCTAACAGACATCTATAGAACTTTTCATCCAACAACAAAAGAATACACACTCTTCTCAGGTATACATGGAACAACATTCTCCAGGATACAACATATGTTGGGTCATAAAATAAGCTTCAGTAAATTTAAGTAAATTGAAATTATACAAAGTACGTTTATTCTCAGAACATAATAGAATGAAATTAGAAATCAATAACACAAGGAAACTTGAGAAATTCACAAGTATGTGAAAATTAAACACACCCACTCCTAAATACGAAATGGGCGAAAGAAAATCCTCTGAGGTGAATGAAAACATACAACATACCCAAACTTAAAGGATGCAGCTTAAGAAGTGCTCAGAGGGAAACATATTGAAAATACTTGCATCAAAAAAATCTCAAATCAGTAATCTAACTTTCTGATTTAAGACATTAGAAAATGAAGGTCAAACTAAACCCAAAGGAACTAGAAGAAATAATAAAAATGGTTGTTGTTGTTAGGTACCTTCGTGTGGATTTCCACTCCTAGTGTCCTTATGAACAACAGAACAAAACACTGCCCTGCACCATCCTCACAATTGTTGTATGTGAGCCCATTGTTGCTGACATTGTGCCAATTATTCTTGTTGTATGTGTCTTCCTCTTTTTTGCCGATTCTTCACTTTTCCAAGCATGCTGTCCTTCTCCAGGTGCAGATCCCTCCTCACAACATGTCCAAAGTAAGAGAAACAAAGTCTTGCCATCAGCATTTCTAAGAAGCATTCTGGTTGTAGTTCTTCCAACACAGATTTGTTTGTTTTTCAGGTAGTCCATGGTCTTTTCAGTATTCTTTGCCATTATTCAAGTACATCAGTTCTGCTCAGCTCTTCCTTATTGATGGTTAAATTTTCACATGCATATAAAGCAAATGAAAATACCGCGGCTTGGACCAGGCACACCTTAGTCCTCAAAGAGACGTCTTTGCTCTTGCAAAGAGTCTTTGGCAGAAGATTTGCCTAATGCAACATGTCCTTTGATTTCCTGACTGTTGCTTCCATGAGCATTGATTGTGGATCTAAGCAAAAATGAAGTTTCTGACAACTTCAAGCTATTCTCTGCTTATCCTGATGTTTTTTATTGGTTCAATTGGGGAGATTTTGTTTTCTTTACATTGAGGTACAATGTATACTGAAGGCTGTAGCCTTTGATCTTCATTAGTAAGTATTCAAACTCCTCTTCACTTACAGAAAGTAAGGTTGTACCATCTGCATAACACAGATTGTTGATGAATCTTCCTCCAATGAACATCCTTGTTCATATAACCCAATTTCTCAGATTATATGCTCAGCATACAGATTGAATAAGTATGGTGAAAAGATACAAACCTGATGCACACCTTGCCTGATTTAAAACCATTCAATGTTCCCTTATTCTGTTCTAATAACTACCTCTTGGTAGTTATATACAAATTCTTCATGAGTACAATTAAGTAGTCTGGGATAACCATTCTTTGCAATGTTATTCATAGTTTATTATGATTCACACAGTTGAATGCCTTTGCATAGTCAATAAAGCACAAGTAGATTCATTCTGCTGTGCATAAGGTCGCTATGGGTCGGTACTGACTCAATGGCACCTAACAACAACAACAAACATCTTTATGGTACTCTCTGCTTTCAGCTAAGATCCATGTGTAACAGCAATGATGTCCCTCATTCGTGGTCCTCTTCTGAATCTGGCTTGAATTTCTAACAGTCCCCTGTTGACATACTATACTGATGCAACTGTTTTTGAATGATCTTCAACAAAAGCTTACTTCCATGTACTATTAGTGATAGATTGTTCAATGATTTCTGCATTCTGTTGGGTCACCTTTCTTTGGAATGAACACAAATATGGGCCTCTTCCAATGTGTTGGCCAGGTAGCTGTCTTCCAAATTTCTTGGCATAGAATAGTGAGTGCTTCCAGCTCAGTAGAAGTTTGTTGAAAGATTTCCATTTATATTCCATCAATTCTTAGATCCTTGTTTTTCACCAATGGCTCGGACTTCTGCCTTCAGTACTATTGATTCTTGATCATATGGGATCTCTATAAATGAGTGACTATTAATTCTTTTTGGTCCAATGATTCTGTGCATTTCTTCCATCTCCTTTTGATACTTTCAGTGGCATTCAACATTTTGCCAATAGAATCCTTCAATACGACAAACCAAGGTTAAAATTTTTCTTCAGTTCTTTCACTTTGAGAAATGTAAAGGCTGTTTTTTCCTTTTGGTTTTCTAAGAACTCCAAGTCCTTGCACATTTCATTGTAATACTTGACTTTGTCTTCTTTGAATACTTATGGTCAGTTCTTTAACTTCAACATATCTTCCAGTTTCTTCAACTTCTCTATGTTCAAGGGCAAGTTTCAGAGTCTCTTCTGACATCCACTTTAGTCTTTTCATTTGTTCTTTCTTTGTTGTCTTTTAAACAACGTTTTGTTTTCTTCATGTATGATGTTCTTGGTATCATTCCGCAACTCTTCTGGTCTTTGATCATTAGTGTTTAATGCATCAACTCTTTTGTGAGGTGGGATATACTCAAGGTCATGTTTTGGCTTTTAAGGACTTGTTTTAATTTCTTTCAGCTTCAGCCTGAAGTTGCATAGGAGTGATTGATGGTGTATTCCAGTCTGCCCCTGGCCTTTTTTTGTATGGATCATGACAAGCTATGGGCAACATCATCTCTTCCCACAGATGTCAGTTTAATTCCTGTGTATTTCCTCTAGTGAGGTTCATGTATGTGTTGTTGTTGTTGTGAAGTGCCGTTGAGTCAGTTCCGGACCCATAGCGACCCTGTATAGGGTTTCCGAGGAGCAACTGGTGAACTTGAACTGCTGACCTTGCAGTTCAAATGGCTTTGCAGTCTGGCGCATTAACCCACAGTGCCACACCATTATGTTGAAAAAAGTGTTTTCAATGAATAATTCATTGGTCTTGCAAAATTCTGTCATGCTATCTGTAGTATCATGTCCATCACCAAGGCTATATTTTCCAACTACTGATCCTTCTTTGTTTCCAACTTTTGCATTTCAGTCATAAGTAATTATTGGTGCATCTTGATTACATGTTTGATCAGTTTCAGACTGAAGAAGTTGGTGTTGTGTTGTTTTTAGGTGCCATTGAGTTTCTTCCAACCCATAGCAACCCTATGTACAAGAAAACAAAATACCACCCTGTCCGGTTCCATTCTTAACAATTGCTGCTATGCTTGCACACAATATTGCTGCTACTATTCCAATCCATCTTGTTGGGGGTCTCCCTCTTTTTGTTATTCCCCCCCATGCTACAAAGCATGGTGTCGTTCTCCAGGAACTGGTCACTCCTGATAATATGTTCAAAATATGAGACACAAAGTTTGGCCATCTTGACTTCTAAAGAACATTCTGGCTGTACTTCTTCCAACACAAATTTGTTTGTCCTTCTGGTATTTGTAATAGTCTTCTCCAACACTGTAACTCAAGTGAATCAATTCTTCTATGGTCTTCCTTATTCATTGTTCAACTTTCACATGCTAACGAAGCTATTGAAAATACCACGGCTTGGGTCTGTTGCACTTTAGTCCTCAAACTGACATCTTCGCTCTTGGAATACTTTATAGAGGGCTTATGCAGCAGATTTGCATAATGCAATACATCATTTGATTTTTTTGACTGCTGTTTCCATGAATGTTGATGGTGGATCCAAGCAAAATGAAGTCTTTGACAACTTCAGTCTTTTCTCCATTTATCATCGTGTTATTTATTGGTCCAGTGGTGAGAATTTTTTTTCTTTGCATTGAGGTACAACCCATAATGAAGGCTGTGGTCTTTGATCTTCATCATGAAATATTTTAAATTCTCTTCATTTTCAGCAAGCAAGGCTGTATCGTCTGCAGATCAAAGGATGTTCATGAGTCTTCCTCCAATCCTGATGCCATGTTCTTCCTCATATAATCCAGCTTCTCAGATTACTTCAATTACAAATACAATCAATTACTGAGTAATTATAATCAATTACTCAGATTGCTTAGCATACAAATTGAATAAGTATGGTGAAAGACTACACCCTGGCACATACCTTTCCTAATTTTAAACCATACAGTGTTCCTTTGTACTGTTTGAATGACTGCCTCTTGATTGATGTACATCTTCCTCAAGAGTACCATTAAGTGCTCTATAATACTCATTCTCCTCAATGTTGTCCATAGCTTGTCATGATCCATACAGTCAAAAGCCTTTGCATAGTCAATAAAACACAGGTAAACATCTGTCTTGTATTCTCTACTTCCACCCAAGATCCATCTAATGTCAGCAACAATAGCCCTCATCCCACATCTGAATCTGAATCTGGCTTGAAACTCTGGCAGCTCCCTGTCAATATAC